TTACACGTAAAGCAGTTGTTGCATTGAATGTCTAAATGTTGGCTGGCGACCAACTTTGTTGAAAGCGGTTAGTTAAAAGGCCATTCACCCAAAAGTTGAATGCATAGTTGAACAATGCAAACACCTTTTTATGGCGAATATTTTGATATTTTTTCATATTTTGACATTTTTAGCCATTCAACTCTTTTTTCGTGCAACCCTGCGCTGAGTTGAACGCAAAGTTGAAACATGCAAACACGCTAGTTGCGTTCGATAACAAAATTAGCCAACACCCAAGAATGATAGAATACAAGATAGCGCCAATCGAGCTGAGAGCAACTGGCCATGACGTCAAAATATACCAGAATGAGAGAGCAAAGACGAATTCAATAAGAAAAAGAAGAAGAATCGAACAGCTGGGGCGAAATTGAAAGGTTTGTTTACAAAGTGCATAATAAATCGCGAATTTACGGAATTATTTAATTTTAAATGGTAAATTGGTTGTTTAAAAGTAAAGAATGTGTACTTCTTAAATGCAATGCAAATCGCTGAAAGTGTTTAAACACTGCACTCATTACAATGATTTGCATTTTTTCAGTAACAACAATAACAAAACCAGCAGACAAAAATGTAAATTAAGGCAGATGTTACAGTTTTGCACTCATATATTTTTAAGAACTTTTTAACAATTTTAACGAGAAAAAAGAACTACTAACACAATGTTCAGTACCCTTTTGCTTGTTTTAGTTTCGTGCGATGTGGCATACCTTATTTTTATCTCTGTAAAACTTCTGGAGGTATATCCTCCATATATCCTTAGTTTGCTTTCACAGCTCATGTACTCGATTATATGGACTTGGATACTTTATGTCCGCGGATTGTGGAGGTCATTTCCAATTAGCAAAGTTTTCATTTTGTATCCAGTCTTTGCGAACATATGCACTATGTTGTGGGTGATTTTTCAGCAGAAACTCTCATTTTTCGACTACATCTTGCAAATTTTGTTTAAATATGAACAGATACTGTTCCTTACGCATAATGCGTACTAACGGACAAACAAAATTTTTTAAATACAACCCCAAACGATTATTGACCGACCACTGTGATTCACAATTTGCCTCACATGTTGCGTATGGGCTTAATTTGGGTCTTTGATCCAATACCATGCCCGGCCATCTGATTGAAAGCAACTAATTGAGTCTTGTCAGACCAAATAAGCTTCAATTGAAACTTAAAAATATGTTTTTTATTACATTCTGAACGGCGTAACATATCCCAATAGGCAACGGTTCGGTTTTCGTGCGATGCAGCGAAATGCTGCCACACTCGCACATGTATTATGATCAAATTTGCTTGTTTCTTCTTTATGGTGCCTTTGCGCTCAATTTGGCAGTTCTTCGCCCCGCTGTCTATTGATTTGCACTAGAGTTTAATACCTGTAATAGTGGCTGCATCGCTACTTGCTGCTAAGTTCACAAGATATTGTACCGTAATATTTTTTGATAGACTTCCTTTGCTCTTGGGAACACTTTAGGCTATATTTTTTATCAATCTAAATATTTTCAAGTAGCAAACTCCACAATTTTTTGCCACTTTCCTGCGGTCCCGCCTTTCCACAGTAAATCACTTATTTACATTTATGGTTCCTGATTAAATATATTATTTACTGGTGATTACTTCTTCAATAAATTACAATACAGAAAAAAGTCATATGACTTCCAACTAAGTAAAAAATAACTGTAAAATGTAAAACTGATAGTAAGTGCAAAACTGTAACATTTGCCTTAATTTACATTTTTGTCTGCTGGGTTTTTTATTGTTGTTGTATTGATTTCAAATCGTTATGAGAGAGGGAGTAGAATTGTACCAACAAACGGTGGGTGAATTAAAAAGTGTTACATCATGCTACAGTTTTGCTCGTCACTGTACGTAGTGTATATATAATGGAAAATCCATTTGGTTAAGACTTTTCACCTAATTTAAATACGAACATTTTTAAACGGTAATTAATGTTTAAGTCAACACCTCAATCTCTACGTGTTGTAATAATAATAAAGTCCGGCGTTTACACAATATGTTAGTGTTTGGCCGAACTTATCCTGCGATTTGTCGCGTGGGCCTTAATGTTGTGGCACAAAGGGGGTGCCTACAGTTTTATGTCGACTCTGAACGGCGATTGTATTTTATGGGACGCTGTTTTTCATTTTCAAGGGTTGCGCACTTCTAACCACTACACCCCAGCGGCCTATATGCGAAACCTATATTCAGATACATTTTTTGGATTTTGGTATCGATATTCCGATTTTAATGGGTACCCGATATTTTTAAAGCGATACTTTAAATGAGTACCATATCGATACTTTCGGTTCAATATCGTGTCCCTAGTGGTTAATTAGCTAAAGGCCTGTATGCAGTTCTCAAGAAAAGCTAAATTCCATACAAAATGACGTACAAGAAATGGCTAAGAAATTTTCTTGAGTAAAATTTCCTTCCGGCAGTACGCAGTTCTTAAGAAACTTGCTACGCTTTTTACTACGGTTTTTCTATTTTTTTGTGAAAAAAGAGCACAAGGCAACCCAGGTTTGCAACAGAAATATATGCCCGTTCCATTATTTCTTGAGGAAAGAGTGAGGCAACAGGGTGTGAAATATCAAAAATGTCAATATTTCTTGGACACACACACACGAAATAATGGCAAATTTTTCTTGACCAATTTCTTGAGAGCTGCGTACCAGCCTTAAATCAATAGTTTTATCGAATCTAGCTATTTTTTCAATGTTTTTCCTGGTGGGGATGTGTGTGGTCTATGTGTTATGACAGCCGTTATCGATAAAAATTAGAGAACCCAACGATTTGTTCTTGATTCGCATGGTGATTGGATCTGAATACCTACGAATGAAGTGATTCGCTCTCAAAATTTTGTATGGCGAATTACATGATTCGGTTCTTAATTGGGGCGCCAATCACGAATGAGAGAGCGAATTACGAATGGGAGAGCGAATCACTTGTCGTGGAAATATCGTTTTAGTCCTCTTTCAGACACGTCAAGTCTTGAAAGCAATTTTTTTCGCCTTCTCTTTTGTGTTTTCTATTTGCTTCCACACGCGTCAACTTTAATTGAATTCAAGTCCTTGGTTCTTAAATGGGAAGCAACGAAAAGATCAAAGGAGACAAGAAAACTTGAAACGAATTGACGGTAAGGAGGTATCTGTACTCTTCCCCTCTCTTCCCACCTCCTTCGCCAACGAACGAGCAGACTTGAAAGCAAGACTTGACGTGTCTGAAAGGGGACTTAAAGTGCACGCGGTAGCTCTAGAGCAGTGGTGCACACGGGAGTCTCCGGGAGCTACTCGGCTTTCACATACGAGTCGTGTGCACAGTATACCAGTAGAAAAGGTTTTTGTTTTTGTAGCTGTTTCGTGGTGAAAGTCCTTTATGGGGACCAAATTTCCCCACAAGAAATTGAGCGCATGGTTGCTTTTGCGGCCCAAAAGAATGAATATTAGAAAACATTTAAAAAAAGTCTAAGGTAATACAATTATATGCAACTAAAATTAATCATAATAATTTGCACTTATGACATAATGTGATAATCATGTGTAAAAACTCTTTTCAACTATTATTTTTCACAAAATAATTTTGCGGATCAGTTTGCTCCGAGCGCTTGTGTTGTTTACCAAGAAAATGCAGCCCTGTTGGTTTTTATTTCTGTATCGCATCGCGGTGAGTTTCCATTTCTTGGTAATTCGGTTTGTGAAATGGTAAACAAATTATTGAAATTTATTTATTTGATGTGTATAAGATTTCATTAATGCATTTTTTTGTATTTTCAGACTATTAATTACAAGCACAGCATCATCAACGGTGATTGCAAGAACTACTGCAATCCCTGCGGTTTTTCCTCTTGGTAAATGCGTTCTGGTCGTGACCAAGGGTGGTCTCCCAAATCGGCTGGGAATAAGGTTCGTCATTTTAAATTTTATATCTTTGTTCGTCGACATTATATGACATGTCATCATTGTAGGCTATTGTTGCAGAACATAACGCCGCAACCACTGCTGTGGTAAATATGTTCCAGCAGAGCTGCCCACCGCCGTCGGTGTAATGATTTCGATAGCTGAACAAACGCCATCTCCTGGGCATTCCCACAGCTTGCCGACACTAGCTATTATATGACGTGTGAATGCAACTGCAGCTTAATTTGGTTATTAACAGTACAATAGTACCATGTCATTGGCAAAAACACTAAGGGCTGCTGGCAAATATAGGTTGTAAAGTTTTTGGTATCGATGAACTTACTCGAAGAAGACGATGGCCGAAAACATATGATGAAACATCTTCTGGCATGCCTTTGACAATCGTTAAGTCAGACGGAGGCTTCACATACGATATTTCACACATGGCTGGAATTCGTTAGCGGACAGAACACACATTTAAAAAATATTTATCGTTCAGCAGAACGTGCATGCATATTCGATTCCGATTTTATGGGTCGATTACGGAGGACAACCGAACTTCAGTTGGTTGGCCAGTGGCTGAAATGGTATTACCGATGGCGACTAACAACTGAAAGCTGGCAACTAAGTTGCTATATTGGCAAGTGCGTTTTT